TTCTGCAATGGGATTTGGGTACTGATAGGTTTTGAATCACCAGGTATTTCCCACTTGGCGAATAGGACACAGAGCTCCTCCAAGCTCCGGGTGGGGACCAGGGGGCTGGTCAGAAACAAACATTCCCAGGCCCCTCCAGGCCCTGCTGACTCAGAGGCAGCTGAATCACAAGGCCCTCCAGTGCTTTATTTGCACATTAAAGCTGGATAAGCACCGGATGGGATGCCCTTTAATGGGGCCTAATGGGGCCAGCCCACTGTAATTATCTCAGCAAAGGGAGAAATCACTGAATAATGAATGCATCACAGTGACCTGGGGGGAAGGGGAGTCCTGGTCTGCTGAGGGCAGGACCAGCAGGCAGTGAAGTAGGTCTAAAGGTACGGAAAGATCTGGTAGATTGTCCTGGGTTTTTAGATTCATTTTAAGTTTGCCACAGGCCTTGCAAGCCAAACCCAGACTAGACAGAGAGATGTTGTTTCCACTGAAAGCTCAGTACTTGACAAGATGGCTCTAAGTGCTTTGTGCTTATCATTAATTTCATCCTTGGGGCCACCCACACTGCTGCAGATGTTAATTCCCATTTTGCAGAAGCATGGTGAAGTGATTGTGCCAGAGGATTTATTTTGTTTACAGACATGGATTATTTTTCCTGTACCCCCCCCTTTCCCACACACACACACACACACACACACACACACACACACATGCACATCCCTAAATTAACTTCCTAGAGTTGAAAGGCCACAGGGACCAAGGATGTACAGCAGGAAGTACCTAGGAAGAAAGCTGCAATTATCCTTATCAGGCCCTTTTTAATAAACTCTCCAGAGTTGGGAGAGAGGGATGCAGAGAAGGAGCAGAGACAGAATTCTGTCACTGTCACTGTCCTCCTGTTGTTCGTTGATTTTGCTCGAGCGGGCCCAGTAACGATTCCATTTTGAGACTTCTCGTTACTGTGTTTGGCATATCGAATACATCATGGGTAGCCTGCCAGGCTTTGCCATGCGGGCGAGATACTCTCGGTAACTTGCGGGGCTGTCTGAGAGGGACGGAGGAAATGAACCTGGCTCGGCCGGGCTGGCTGTGCACAAGGCAAATGCCCTACCGTTGTGATATCACTCCATGTTTAGCTGATGGACAAATACCAGTTGATCTAACTTATCTGTGATATGACAAGAGAATCAAGATATGAAAGTTGGGAAAACCCTTAGCCCTAGATTACACATATGAAAAGGCCAGGAAAGAAGAAGAGCGATGGAGGGAGCAGCAGGTAAAGGCAGAAGGAAGGAACAGAGGCAGTGGGCAGGAGCCTTGGACACACCGGTGGTGAACTGTTGTATGTCTGTATAGCTGAATCACAAAGTCAAGGACACTGCACGCATCAGACCCAAACTGCAATAACAAGTCTGAAAGTTGTGCCTGTTAAGGAATCAGGCTGGGGGTATGAGGGAACCTGGTGGTAGGACTGGTGTTGGAATAGGATTAGGGAAATCTTTGTACAGTGCCTCAATTGAAAAAATCAAAGAGCCTGGCTTGGTTTCCTACCCCAGAGAGTCCTTTTTCCTTCTCTCTTACCTGATCTTCCCAGAGTAGCATGTCAGGGGCCAGCTGGGAAAGCTCCCCAGGAAGTGTGCCTGGCAGCTGCTGTCACCAACACCAGACCCCAGCAGAGTCTGATAACCTCGTCCGGTCAGATCACTAAGCACATGAAGCAGCTGCAGAAGAACTAGGTCACCCCTGAGGCTTCCCCGCTGGAGAATAAGAATCACCACTTTCTAGTCATGGCATCAGAGCTGAAGCTTTATTTTAATAGATTTTTATTGTTTTCAGAACATTACTGGCAACTAGAAACTTGTATGCAAGAATGATTTTTATAATTGCAGAGTAAATAAAATAGAGTAGATAATGGAATTATAGCAATAAATACACCTTAAGTATAAATATACACATTGGTATCCCACATGTATAAAAGTCATGCTCTGTAAATACTCTATCTATGGGCTTCTTTGTGGGGAATGAGGTTTCAGGGCAAAGCTTTTAGGGTTTACAAGGTATCCTGTGGGTTATGGTTATTTTCAGAGGTGCATGTAGGAACAGATTACAAATTGGAGGGGGAAATTAAGTATCACAGAGCAATTTTTAAATAATTTTAATATGTTTTTGTTCTACAAAGAATGAGCATTTCTTAGTATTAGAAACAGTGAAACAAATATACTAGCTTACAGATATGTACAACATACTACTTTATACTTCAAAAATGCAGGAAGATAAAGGATATATATTACATAGATAATTGTAGATCTAATGAACAATTCAATATTGCTCTTGTGTTGGTCTTGCTGTATTGCATGCATGCCCAGGGCACGCCCATGGCTTGTCACCAGATGGAGGAGGGGCTAGCAGGGACAGAAGGGAACTCACAGAGCCCCATGCTTATGCCCAAAGTGCCACTGGAGAAGCAATATTTTGAGTGGTATCACTTACTGTGACCGTTAAAAAAAAACTTCTGTGCGCCTGAACAACACAGGACAGGTCTTCAAGTACCACAACCATGTATCTGGGGGAAGGGCCACATAAATGCTAAAAATATCAGATCCAAGCGAACTAACTCCTCGAGCCCTGAGTCATTTGAGGAGCTCCTAAAAGATTACCTTGAGATGCTCATCAACAACCTCCATGCAGCTCATAGGAGATGATCTCAGAACAAAGACCTACCATTGAGGCTTCCATTCCTCCTGTCAACTCAGGACCAAAACACACAAAAGGTGTCCAGAATGGGATTCACTGTATGGTCATCAGAAGCTTGTCATTTTGATGAGGCTCTATAGTCTTAGAAACACAGATACTGCTGGGAGAGAATACAGAGACGTTCTAACTTCTATCAGTCCAGAAAGCCTGGGTTCAAAGGCAGAGCTCAGCTAAGGAGCCTGCAGACCTGGCAGGCACCCTATCTGCCTTGGAGCCCAGAGGAGCCCCCCAAATTCTCTAAATCCCACTATGGCATCAACTTCTGTCTTCTTCTACTTAATCCATATCCACATTATAAATTGATACTTCTGAGAATTGAAAGAGGGGGGAAGATAAAAGTAGGGAGAAATTGAAAGCACAAATATTCTTGAATACTGCCAACTAGATCTATCTCTGTGGGTCTGTGGAGAGCTAGCTGTGTGGGAGAAAAGAGCACCCAGGAGATCAAGAGATTGAGGGGGGCGGCCACCTGGTGGGGATTTCTGGCTACCCCCTCAGATCTTCTTGCTCAGGGTTCACTCCTAGAGGCCAAGGCCAGGGGAGGGCCTTAAAGTCCATGGTCCTCATGGTTCCGCCCTTCTCCTCCTAATCCCTCCCCAGAGTCAGCAGAGAAGACAGGAGCAACAAAGTCAAGACTCTCACCAGAGAGATTAACCAGCAAGTGACACAGGAGATGGTCTGCAGAGGTACAAGCTCTCCCTTCTCTCCCTGGCCCTGCCAGGACAGCAGAAAGAAATAACAAAAGGCCAGTGGAATTAACAAGAGGGGCCCACACTCATCCCAAATTTGAGAACATGGCCTGTGTGTTGGAATCAATCCCAAAGGAGCAGGACTGTTCCCAGCCTGGGGGTTGTGGGGACAGGAGTCAACCCTCTGCTGCCTGGAACAAAGAGAACTCACAGGCATCTTCAGGAAGCAGAGCCTGACTAGATGAGGGCAGAGCAGCTGTGTCAAGAACAAACATGACCCTGCTCTTGACAAGCCAGCTCAGGTGCCTGTCTCTAGGCCCTGGCCCAGCAGGCAGGAATCAGCAGGGTCCACAATTGGGTTGGAAAGACGAAGGATCAACAGGGCAGAGATCATGTGTCCAGAGAGATGCTGCATTGAACAGCTCTTCCAAGACATTCATGACGGACGTGCAAGATAATCTCCTATCACTTGAGCACATTTTCCAGGAATAGAACTCTGTTCTCAACAGATCATCAAAAACACAGTGAAGGAATTCTGTTTCAAAGTATCCCTGTAAGGTGCGAAGTATGGCATATGCATGTTTGTGTCATTTAGAAAACAGTGTGCTTCTGTTCTTTGATGGCCTTTGTTGGCTGTTCCCGAGCTGGATACAGACCAAGTTATTTAAAAGAAGAAAACCTCCTTGGAGGAGATGGGGGAAAGGTCTAAAAAGAGCTACTTTAATTGCTTTTCTTTAAAATCTGAGGGCTGGAAGAAGTTATACCCTATTGTGGGTCCAGGAAGGAAACTTCACATTTTGAAAACCCTGGAAGTCTCACAGACAGGGAGTTGTGGTGTTTGGATAATGTCATGGAAGCCTCATTTCAACAGTGACATACTTCTGATGGAGCAGCATGCTCTGAGTGAACTCAGCATGGGACGCAGACAAAAATACTCGACAGGTTAAAACAACAGTTGCTAGCGAGGTCTGGAGAGGTCAGTACATCCCTTGGGGTGGCAGGGCTCAGGGACCAGCTAGGGGTGGGCAGTGAAAATCTACTGGGGGAGGCCAGGTGAGATTCATTTTTATGTTAAATACAGCTCAAAAACCACCCTAGAGAATAACTTTGGCTTGGTCTCCTCCCCTCTTCCTGGTCCTTCCCTCCATCGTGGATGTCCTTGGCTTCTGGTCTGCAGCATGATCTGCAGCCGCAGGTTCACATGCTCGCCCATGCATGACACAGGGGAAGGTGGCTTCGTTCTGCACATACACGCTCCCCTGGGGTACCAGTTCTGCTGCCTCCTAATGCAAAAGTGCTTTCAGGAACGGCTGGTGCACCTCAATCCTTGGGAGCCTTGTCTCCACTTCCTTGTCTGGCAGATTCCCTGATTTTGGAGGGGGATGCTTATTGGTGGCGTATGTATGACATGCCCTCTCCAAGGACAACCGGGCATGTCTTGGTTGAAATGCAACATTGAACACGTGGGCATCTGACATGCTACCCTGATGGCTGTGGGTTTCACGTGGGGGTCGGGGGGGAGACAGGGAGATGGGACACGCCGCTCTCCTCCCTGGAGAAGAACCTTCACATGACGACGCATTTGCCCTTGAGCTTCTCTTTCCTCTTCTGCTGCTTGCTCTTCTTGCCGTCGATCTGGAGGCTCACGGTCCTGCGCTTCTCCAGGTTGAGCAGCTCCTGGAAGAGCTCCTTCACGTTGTGGTTGAGCTTGGCCGAGGTCTCCATGAAAGCACACTTCCACTTGCGGGCCAGGGCCTCCGCTTCGCTGCTCTCCACCTCGCGATTGGGGCTCTCGTCACACTTGTTCCCCACCAGCATGATGGGGATGCTCTCCACATCCCCTTTGATCTCGCAGATCTGTTCGTAGATGGGCTTGAGTTCCTCCAAGGACTGCCGGCTGGTGATGGAGTACACCAGGATGAAGGCATGTCCCTTGGAGATGGACAGTCGCTGCATGGCAGGGAACTGGTGGCTGCCTGTGGTATCTGTGATCTGCAGCGTGCAAATGCTCTTGTCACAGCTGATCACCTGCCGGTAGGTGTCTTCCACTGTGGGGATGTAGCTCTCTCGGAACGTGCCTTTCACAAACCTCAAGACCAGGGAGCTCTTTCCGACGCCCCCTGCCCCAAACACAGCCACGCGGTAATCATTGCTTTGCTCAGGCATGATGCTGGTGGGCTCCAATTAATATCCAAGAGAGATCTAGAAAGGGAAACAGATTTGAAAAAATTAATGAGAACAAAAATATTCTCTGGAAAAGATTGCTTTTCAGTCTTTTTGGCAGCTTAAAAAAAAAGCAACCAGTTTTGTTTTCACTCTCCCAACATAAGAATCATTTTGTTTTGGGCAGAAGAGGTATGCAGGTGATTGAAGTTTGGTCCCCAGAACCACATACGCTTCCCTCCACACAAAGTCAGAAGGGAGCCCTGGGCATTGTTGGGTGTGGATCCCATATTAAAATATTAATTCCGCTATCATTTTAAAATTATTTATTTTCAAAGACACTACATGAATCCCAGCATTTCAAAATGGCAGTAGGTCTATTTACAAGCTAACTGGTGTCAGTCAGTTTCTTGCTGTTGGACCATGATGCGCAACTCTAATCACACAGCACTCTGTGTCTGAGGCAGACGCCAAGTCAGTGAGGCAGGATGAAGTCCAGTCAACAAGAAGGTAGAAAGGAATCATCATCCACCAGTATGTATTTGCATGTACCAAACACTACTGTATAAAGCCAATGTGCTGGTCACAGTATCAGAGGTTTTTTTTTTTGTTTTTTTTTTTTTATCATTGTGCTTGTTTTGTTTTGGGGGAAGCCATACCCGGATATGCTCAGGGCTTACTCTGTACTCAGGGATGACTACTGGAAGTCTCAGAGGTAGCCATATGAGGTGCTCCCAAGATAGTTTTTTAAAAAAATATAGTAACTGTGGCAGAGCCTGGCAAGCTACACATGGCGTATTTGATATGTCAAAAACAGTAAAATAACAGGTCTCATTCCCCTGACCCTGAAAGAACCTCCAATTTGGCAACATTGGGAAAGACGAGTAAGTAGAGGCTGCTAAAATCTCAGGTCTGGGACGAATGGAGATATTACTGGTGCCCGCTCAAGTAAATCGATGAACAACAGGATGACAATAATCGTAACAGTGAGCAAAAGATAAGAGAATGACAAAAATATTCATTCTGTGTTTATATGAACTCAGTGATACCACCTTTCAGAAATGCTATCATAATTCCTCGAGTGCAACAAACTAGAGTCACAGAAGGAACTGGAAATGCGATGTGAGCAGGAGGCTGGGATACCAAGCAAGTATTGGGTGTTCATACCCATCCTACAGACTGCCTTCAGAGCCTGGGTGGGAGATCCAAGGCAATACTCAGACCTTGTGTGGACCTTCTCTTAAACAGCAACCATAGATGCTTAATAAGGAGCTTGGGGAGTTCTTGTACTCATCCAAATTAGAATGATGATAAGGGCTGTATTTTTAAGAATCATAAGTGTCACTAAAACAATAGTATAAACTACTACTAAGGTCATCAAAACTGAGCATGATAGGGGTTCCCTTTATCACACATAACAGTCCTAGTTTGTCCAAGAGGTACAGCTATTTTCTTCAAATGTGGGTTATCAAATATCTTCCATTCTCTCTTTCATCGGGGCAAGTAACACATTAAAAAATGGAGAATTAACCTATATCTAAAATTTTTCAAGTAGACAAAAATACTATTATGGAACCCAATCTATCTAGGCAACAGGTATATTCCTTTCAGCTCTCAAGACTTAGAGTAATCGGGGGTCAATGATAAAAGGCACTGCTTTCAAAAGTCAGTTTCCAAAGAAGTAAACCTGATAACAAATAATTAGCTATAGGACACATATACGCTTAACACTTTTGCCAGAGGATGAAGCATCAGATCATGGCCCAGACCTGGCCTCTCATCTGTGGATCTCTTTCATTTCTTTGACCATTGAATTTCATCAATGAAACACTCAGCTGTTCTCATGTTTACTTAGTGTGTTAATCAAGGGGGCAAACCTGTAAGAAATTAAAGCAGCATCAATGCTAAAAGAGAAAACAGATATCAGGAAGTTCAGATGAACAGTGAAAGGTTATCAGAAAACCTGCTCAGATGTTTCCTCAGTCTATTAGATACTGTGAAATCATGATGATCAATTTGAGAGTGTGGCATTATGAGAAAATATTCATTATTCTGGGGATTGAGAGGACAGCTGGTGGTGCTCAGTGCTTAGGGGTCATTTCCATGGATACCCAGGAAACTATACAATGTGAGAATGTGAGGGATGGAACCTGGCATTCCCATGTGAAAAGCATGTGCTCTGGTCCTTTTAGTGATCATTCGGGTCCAACTGCTGTACATTTCAATCAATAAAATGTCATATGCATCTAGTTTGATCTAGTTTGCATCCCCAGTGTGAGGTTCCACTTATGCATGCAAGACAGTCTTGTCACTCAGCACTGCTTTGTACTAAGATTATTTAGCTCTATATTGGAATGAATGTAAACTAGGGATTTCTGGATGGGACTATGTCTAAATAAACTCAAGGTCTTATCAAGTCTTTGAAAGACTTCAGTACATGGTGAACTTTTGTTGGGGATGATGCTATTAATCATACCAAGGTTATTAAACCAAGCAACTAAGTTTTTTAAGTGCATAATAAGCATAAGAAGGAATAATTCATAGCTACTTTTCTTCATCTGTCCAAGGAATATCTGTTGAGCTCCGCTGAGACCAGACTCTGAGCCCTGGGCCAGCAAAGAACATGAAGAAGATAAACCTACAGTAGGGATGGCTTTCTTATGGAATTTAGAATCAAGTGAAGGAGAGAGATCTTAAGAAGATGACACACCCCAACTACTCAATAAGCTACACCCACAAATGATGCAAAAGAGAACAAGAAGGAAGCAGAAAAAAGGCCTGAGGTACCAGAAATAATTTTCTTAAGGAGACAGATGACACAGCAGCAGGAACATGAAAGACAGAAGGCAGATAGGTGGAATTACATAAAGTTCCAAGTGCGGGTATGTACTGGATCTCAGACAACAATTCCATCTTGACTAAGCTCACTAAGTATTTTCATAAACTTACAAGTGATATTCTTCCTCTCCAGAGTCCTTCATTTACTTTTCAAGCAACTCTAAAACACCATATGGTCACCAGGAAAGCTTGGTGCTCACCCAGTGGCAGGTCACAGATTAAGAGGCTATGAAAGCATAGAAATGTATATAATATATCCCAACAAGCAGATGTTTGGTAAAGTCATAAAGGACAGGCAAGAATCTGGTGGGACTTATAGTTCCTTCTGGGTCCCTCAAGAAAGAGATCACTGATGATCTCGGAGGCTAACATTTGCCACTGGGCAAAAAGATAAGACATTTTGGAAGAAAAGACCTATTGGAAGGGAACAAGGCATTACCAGAGCCAACACTTAGATCACACGAGGTATACTTGGTAATTAACTCAATTTTAGTTCAGGGTCTGAGTTAGAGAGGCCTAATCCAGTGGAAAGAATATTGGGGCATCATCCTTCTATAAATGATACTATAATAAATAAAATCACCCAGAGAAAGACATGTAGCATGTGAGAAAATCAAATAAGAATCTGATGGATGAAAGTCAGAAAAGTTGGCAAGTAACTTACTTAAAGTTTCTGCAACTGAGTTACTTAACACCACCTTCTTCAAAGAGGCTGCTCTGGGGTCACGATGAAGAGGGTGAGATCACTCAAAAAAGGTGGCAAATGAACAATATAGCAAGGGGGGAAACAGAAGAGAGGTGATAAAATGCTAAGGGAGCAGAAAATGCTATGATATGTCACCCCCCTAAGGCCCAATTACCCAACTATAGACCAATCTCTCTCATAAAATCCTTATTTATCTGTATATGTGCTTATGTATGTGTTTATATATCCATTCATCTATCCACATAAATATTTTTACATATTTATATAGATATAAATCATCAACAAAATACTATAGAATTAAATTCATCAATATATATAAAAGAATTATGCACCGTGAAATAGTGAGATTTAAACCAGGAACAAAAAGTTGGTTTAGCATCCCCAATCTAGTATAACATGCCATATGAATAAATGAAGGACAAAACCCACGATAATGTCTGAATATACAAAAGGAAGTAAACCAACAAATTTCAAACACTAATCATAATAGAAAAAATAAACAAAAAAGTTAAAAGAGATAACAAAAACCTTTCTCAGTTAAAAGGAAAAACCAGTCACTTAAACAGACTTACTGATAAAACACCAAACATTTTCTCTCTCAATCAGGAAAAAAAAAAGAATATTAACTTTTGTGGCTCTATTTAATTATATTGGCTTTACCCAAGATAATTAGATTTAAAATGCAATAAAAGGTATATTATTCTGGGGCAGGGAGAAAGTACAAGGATGAGAGTACAAACCTTACAAGTGCCCAATCTGGGTTTGATCTCTGGTGCAACATAAGTTCTGAAGCATTCCCAAATTAGCCCTGGAGTCATGACAGTACTCAGCATGGTATTGCCCATACAACTCCACATCCTCAAGTCTAAGCACTAAACCACTGGCCTAGTTGTCAAAATATCAGTGGGAATGGTTCCATGAGCTTCCTTAACATTATGAAAGCACCCCTCCTTCCCCATGCAATGGTATATTTTTCTATTAAAAATTAAGACTAAATAAAACTCTCTGTATTGCAGATGACATAATCTTATATCCAGAAATTCCTAAGGATTTCACTAAAATACTAATAGCATTCAAAAGCTAGTTCAGCAATTTTGCAGAATAAAATGACTAGAAATTCAGTTGTATTTCTAAATACCTCTGACGTAAATAAAATTAAGTCAATTTCATTTGTTGTATCATCAAGAAAGAAAGATATTCAGGAATAAGTTTAATAAATAAATATAAAACACAAAATTACAAAGTAATACTTCACTATATCACTGTCATCCCATTGTTCATTGTCAATTTATTCAGTCGGGCGCCAGTAACGTCTCTATTTGTCCCAGCCCTGAGATTTTAGCAGCCTCTCCTTACTCATCTTCCCCAATGATTGGAGGCTCTTCCATGGTCAGGGGAATGAGACCTGTTATAGTTACTGGTTTTGGCATATCTAATATGCCACAGGCTCTACCTGTGCGGGCGGGATACTCTCGGTAGCTTGCCAGGCTCTCTGAGAGGCATATATGTGTATGTCTCTCTATGATT